GCAGTGCTAGGACAGCTCTGGTTTCTCTACAGGGATTTGCATCTGAAGGATCCCAAAGCACTTGATAAACTTAGAAACACGGAGGCATGTGCTGGACAGGAGTCAGTTCCATGTAGACAGAGTGGGCCCGGGCTGGTGTGAACTGGAGCAGCTCCAATGAAATCACTGAACCCAGACCCCCAGCTGGGGAAATGAGCCATTGCTCTATTGGAGTCAATGGGGCCAGACCCCCAGCTCTGATTGGTTATGTCTGTTTATACCAGTGAAACTCAGACCTCTTTGATTCAGGAGTCAAATTACTCAACTTTATCAACATTACCCAAAAAAGCCACAGCCGTGTGAATTCATTGTTTCCATTTACTATAGTGCTATTCATATTTAAACAGTATGATGGGAAATATTTAGTTAACACGCACACATTTTATTCTCATGGCAAATAAGTTAATAACTTGTGTGAGTTGATAACTTCATTGGTTAATAACACTGTAGAAGCATCCTGATTGGTTAATAATTAAATCACACAGTGTTTTACTATAATGAATCGCAGCAGACACATTAAAGAACCACTTGTGGCTTGTAAGCTGCAGTCTGAGTATCTCTGGTTTATAGGGTACAGTTGTTACAGACACACCTGAATCGGCAGGAATGATTGATTCCCCTTATGCAAATAGTTCACAGTTAGTAGTTGTGGTTCAATCTGAGAGCCTGGAATGTCTCAAGGGGGTGGAGTCCCTGCACCCCTGGCAGGACAGGGACCGGGAGAGCAGCAGACACAGATTCCCAGCTGCACCCTGTGACAGCAGCAGAGCTGCCAGCCGAGCAGATCTGACGGGAGCGACTCCCACAGCAGCCAGCACCAACTGCTTCAGCGGGAGGGGCAGGACACCCCTGTACTGGACCGAGATGGAATAACCTGCCCCAGGGAGAGATTCTTCCCTCACCCCCATTGGTTAGAAGCTGGGCTTGTACCTTGTCCTGGAGGGTTTAGAACCCTTCCCACTCCAGGTTATTGTGTAATATTGACGGTTGTAACTCTGGAGGGTCCCATTATCTCTATAAATGCTAAGAGGTTGGCAGGAGTCAGAAAAGAAGATTGACCAAGGAGATCTTGTGGCAGTGAGTTCCACAGGCTAGCTCTGCCTTCTGTGGAAACATTCCCTTTGATCAGATTGGAATTTGCTGCCTTTTCGAGCCAGGGGCGTGGTCCAGCTATGGCTTCTGGGAGAGCTGTTGCAAAATGACATCTGCCCCCTAGTGGAAATGAAATGTCATTTCATTCAGACAAACAGCTACATCAGCGAATCAATAAAAGGCAGCTAAATAACCAGCCTCCTCCTCTCCCAGCTCCTCTCGGGTATTAGCAGAGCTGTGGGGTAATGGGGGACGGGGGGTAACAGCTACCTCAGCCCGCTGGCAATTGCCCCATAGTGGTTTGGTTTTTTTTAGTCCCACTGTGTGTCATAAAATGCTACAAAGGACAGGAACCTGGGAGACCAAAAATGAAGCAGTTTCCCCAATAAGAGTCTCTTGTGCACATACAGGGAGCCCATTTCCCTGTCCAGCACCTTGGACCATTGCTGCCACCTCCCTAGTGGGGTATAAATGCCACCGGATTAGAATTCTCCTCTCACTGTTAGACATTTGCATCATCACCAACCCATTGGCAACTACAGCTGGCCTGGGATGGTGCCAATGAATCACTAGGGGTATGTCTACATTGCATTGTAAACCCAGCTCCGTAGGACCCAGGCTCACAGACTCATTGTGTTCAAGTCCTTGCTTGAGTGTCCACACTGCACTGCAAACCTGGGCTTACAATTGCTGCCCTGGGTCACCCAGTCGTGCTAATGGTCCATATCGTACTGCACAGACCTTCCGACCAGCTTGAGCTGCGTCCACACTGCAAAATGACAGGGCTTGGACTGGAGACACACCAGGACACAGGCTCAGGCCCACATTCCTTGCCAGGTTCCCGGACCTGGGTCCCAAGTGCACATTGACCGGAGTCAGACTGATCTGTGTGTGGACAAAAAGGGGCTTGGGCTCAAACCTGGGTCAGAGCTGGGCTCACTGTGCAGTGTGGACACACCCTGAGAGTCACTTTCTTCCATGAGTCAGCAAGAACCGGGCAGAGTAAGGCAAACTGCATTGTCTGCTTAGGCAGTTTCTCTGCCACTGCAGAGCTTCTGCCTAGAGCTGTCCCCCACCCCTCCTGCCTCGCTTCCCCCAGCACAATGAATGGAGCAGCCCACCCCCCTCACAGCACCCACCTGCCCCAGGGGGCATTTGTCCCGGCTGCTCACAGGGTCCAGGAGCTAGAGAATTGCGGTGAATTTAATTTGCAAACCACATATGAGATCGTAACAGACACATACATACCCCGCCCTGCCCCCCACCAGGCTGGGGTAGCAATTTAATAATCGGTAACTCAAGTCCAGCCAATGCAACTGACACCCACTCTCCAGTGTCTGTATCTGCTCCGGCAGGGAGAGAAGCAGCAGCTGCTGCCCGGGGGGGTTGCAGGAGGGACTCACCTGCCGGGACAGACAGCGCCAGACCAACAGAGCAGGAGCCCAGAGAGTGAATCCGGCAGCTCCGGGCACCAGGTGGCCCCAGCAAAGGCACCAAACGGAGCCGGTGTGCTACTTACGGTGTACTGAGCGCTGAAGCCACTGCCCTTCACCCTGCCCTTATACCCATAGGATTCTGCTGACTGCTTTTGACAGGGGTTAAAAAGTGGCAAAGGGGGCAAATAGGAGGAGGGGGGTAGCCAGGGTCTGAGCAGGGAGTGGAAATTTACTGGTCTGGGGGGTCAAGCAGCTGGAGGCAGCAGTAGAAGAGGGGCTAAAGGGCAAAATCAGGGTTGGTGGGGGGAGGAGGTGGAGTTAAGCCCAGGAGTGAGGCGCTGGCAGAGGGCAAAATCCTGGCACAGGCAGTAACAGTTACCCCAGTAGCACTGAGATACCAGTGTTTGGCAAAATAGTTTGTTGGGGGGGCAAGAGGCTTTTTTATTTGAGCAAAGTGGCTTTTTTGTATGTTCACATGAACTGAGCATGCTCAGTAACATCTGCTGAAGCCACTGCCCTTCACCCTGCCCTAATTAGCCGTAAAAATCTGCTGACTGCCTTTGACAGGGGTTAAAAAGGGGCAAAGGGGGTGAATCGGAGCAGGGGGGTGGCCAGGGTCTAAGCAGGGGGTGGAAATTGACTGGTCGGGGGGTCAAGCAGCTGGAGGCAGGATTAGGAGAGGGGCTAAAGGGCAAAATCAGGGCTGGGGGGGTAGGAGCAAGAGTTAAGCTCGGGGTGAGGCGCTGGCAGAGGCAAAACCCGGCACAGGGGGTAGTAGTTACCCCAGTGGGACTGAGAGACCAGTGTTTGCAATAATGGAGGGGGGCAAAGCAGCTTTTTTATTTAGGGTTACCATATTTCCACAATCAAAAAAAGAGGACACGGGGGGAGGGGAAGCCCCGCCTCGCCCTGCCTCATCCACTCCCTCCCACTTCCCACAACCTGACTGCCCCACTCAGAACCCCAACCCCCCTGCTTCTTGTCCCCTGACTGCCCCAACCCTTATCCACTCACATGGGTGGCAGGGTTGTAGAAATTTTGATGGTGCCCAAAACCCACCCACCCCCACCTGCCTAAGGCTCTGGGAGAGGGGTTGGGTGCGGGGAGGAGATCTGGGGTGCAGGTCCTGGGCTGGGGATTAGGGTGCAGGAGGGGTGCAGGTTCTGGGATAGAGTTTGGGTCTGGGTGCAGGCTCCGGGCTGGGACAGGGGGTGGGTGTGCAGGAGGGAGTGAGGGTTGCAGGCTCTGGGATGGAGTTTGGGGGTGGGAGGCAGTGCAAAGGGAGGGGGTGAGGCTTTGGGAGGGAGTTTGAGGGCAGGAGGGGGTGTGTGGGGAGGGGGTTTGGGAGGGAGTTTGGGGATAGGAGGGGATGCAGGGGTGAGGGCTGTGGTCTGAGGAAGAGGGGTTCATGATGCAGGAGGGGGCTCAGGGCTGGGACAGAGGATTAGGGTGCGGGGGGATGAGGGCTGGGGCTGAGGGGTTTGGGGCGTTGGAGAGGCTCAGGGCTAGGGTGGAAGGGCAGGGTAAGGGCAGCCTGTCTTCCCATTAGTAGATGGGGGACACTAGGACCCAGGGGCAGCAGACAAGGGAGAGGCAGGCGGGGAGGCTACAGGGGAGGATGCGAGGAGGGGGGGTGGCAGGTAGAGGCCGGAGACCCAACCAACACTCCCCCGCTCCCTGACTGCCCCCCCCCGGACTCCCCTTACCATTCTGGCTCCACGGGTTTGCAAAACACGCTGCCCGGTGGGTCGGTTTGTGTGTTACACAGGGCTGCAGACAGAGGGAGGGGGGAGCAGGGGAGGGCTCTGGCTGCTGGAGGCCAATTGGAGCGGCTCAATCGGCCCAACCGCCCAATCAACAGCCGCTCTCTGCATGGAAGGGAGGGAGGGAGGCAAGGGAAAAAAAAACCCTGGACATTTTAACCTTGTTACCAATTCCTCCCGGACGGCTATTTAGAGACGCAAAAGCCGGACGTGTCCGGGGAAATATGGACGGATGGTAACCCTATTTTATTTCCCCTCTCACAGGCAGCACCGCTCAGCATCGGCTTCCCCAGGTTGGGCTCTAAAAGGCACAGGCCTCCCAATGCCTAGTCACTGCAGCTCCTCTGTGTCTGATCTAACCGACTGAGGCTCGGTCTACATTACAAAGTTCAAAGCGCTGTTGCGGGTGCCAGTGCTCCTAGTAACCCACCTCCACGAGGGGATTCGC